TGAGCTGAAAAGAAAACTATGGTTTGGAAGGTTAAAGAAAGAAATACACCGAGTTCACCTATTTGCCAACAAAGCCAGTCCTACTATACAGTCCGTTCTAATGGACATTTGGTCACAATCTGATTGAATATTGATCCTGATTTGTTTTGTGGCATATAATAAAACCGCATGGTAGATTTCCTTATACCTTACAGTACTATATATAGATAGCACCACCAATCATATTCACATCTGTCAGACCAAATCAAAAGATATGAACTATATTATTATGAAGAAGAAAATACTGCATAATCGATTCTACAATACCGAGTGCAAAGCTCGTACAAAGCTTCACAGCTCTGCCCACCACTAATAGGGGAAAAAAAAAAAAGCATAACTGACTCGTTCTCTCTTTTCACCCCACTATATGAAACATTACACGTCAATTTGCTTTTCATAACTAATTTCTTTCTCTAATTTCCATTCTGCCCCTTCCTATTTCTCCTACCATATGTTTTCCAAATCCAAGGCCCATGACTCAGTTGGACTGGACTTGTCCACTTAGGTTCATGGGACCTAACATTGCCACCCCCATCAATTGAAGCCTTGTCCTCAAGGCTAACATCTGAAAATTGAGTGGAAATTGTGACAGCATCTTTCCAAGTAACATCTTCAGTAGGCTGCCCTTTCCACTTGATTAACCAATAAGAAACAACACCTCCTTTCTTCTGTTTGTATTGAACTGCAAGAATCTTCTCATTAACTATGTTCGCAGCCACTTCTTGCTCCATCCAAATTGGCAAATCATGTGCAGGCTAATAATTTCCCACTGCCTTTTTAAGTTGAGAAATGTGAAAAACAGGGTGGATCCTAGATTGAGGAGGTAGTTTCAGCTGGTAGGCCACTGTACCCACCTGCTCTTCAACACTTTTTCATCCCACACCAATAAAAACATTCAGCCAACCATAGTTCTGAAATACCCTGAATGTCCACCTGTGGGGGTGCTATGAAATTCAGAGTAATGTTGGAATCCAAGTCGATGTTGCAGGGATAACCAATCTGTCATAGTACAATAGAACACCATGACGTAAAGAAAACCCAGGTCTAGAAGAAGGGTCTTGCTGCAAATCTGAAAGCACCTTCTGCATGAAAGGATCTTGCTGGACTCCTTGTATTTTCTCAGAATCCAACCACTTAGGTTTCCAAATCAAAACCTTCAAATCCAGCTCCTCTGTACACCTAGATAAAGCATCAGCAGCCTTGTTTTGGAGACCAGGTTTGAAAATCACTTCAAAATCATATCCCAACAATTTTGTAAGCCAACATTGTTGGTCTGGAGTTGTGATTCGCTGCTACAACAACTGCCTCAAACTTCTGTAATCAGAAAAAACTTTATAATGTCTTCCTAGTAAATAAGACCAATGGCATGAGTTCTTTGTGATATGCAGACTTAACTAAGTTTTCCTCAGAAAGAGATTTACTAAAATAGGCTAAAGGCCTACCATCTTGCATCAAAACTGCTCCAAAACCTCTTCCATCTGCATCACACTCAATTACAAATTTCTTATTAAAATCTGAAAGGCTCAAATTTGGTGCTTCTATAATAATATTCTTCAACTCATCAAAAGCTACCTGAGCCACTTTATCCCATTGGAAGCCTCCTTTCTTAGTGAGGTCTATTAAGGGTTTGGCAACTTTGCCATAAACAACAACAACCACCATGAAGCCGGTCCCAAGCCTAGATAAAGGAGGAGGGTTGTGTTAGACCCTCGGCAACAGCCAACATAAACCTTGTTGAAACCTTTTTATATGTATTACACACGGTAAATTTGCCATAATCTTTAATATATTTTCTATAATATCTTGTTAGTCCAAGGAAGCCTCTAACTCCTCTTATAGACTTTGGAATTGGCCAATCTAACACCCCCTCAAACTTTCTCTCAGGATCCATGGCCACTCCTTTTGCTGAAATTATGTGGCTGAGATACTCTATCTCTTGCTACCAAATTGACACTTCTTCTTGTTCACCACCAACTCATGATCATGAAGGAAGCCCAAAACATGCCTCAAATGATGGATATGAGTTCCAATCAGTGTTGTATATTAAAATGCCATCAAAAAACACCAACACAAACTTTCTCAAGCAATGTCTAAATACATCATTGGTTAATGATTGAAAAGTGGCTGGTGCAATCATCAACTCAAAGGGCATTACTAAATATTCATAATGATAGGAATGTCGTCTTCTCTTTACCCAAATCTAATGATAACCAGTCTTCAAATCCAGCTTTGAAAAGTACAAAGTTCCAAGCAACTCATCAACACACATTCTAATTGTTCAGAACTGTGGCTTTATTGAGGGCTCTATAATCAATACACATTCTCCATGTAAGGTCCTTTGCTAACATCACAAGGCTAGAATAAGCACTTGTGCTTGGTCTGATTTCCCCCAAATTCAGTAGCTCCTCTACTTGTTTCTCTATCTCAACTTTTTGATAATGGGGGTACCTATAGGGTCAAACATTCACTAGTCCTTTACCATATTTTAAAGTGATATTATGCTCTTTAGATCTCTTTGGAAGCAATCCTTTTGACTTTTGGAAAACCTTTGAGAATTCTTGTAAAATTTGTTGCACATTCTTTTCTTGCTTTGGGGTCAAGGTTTTTGAGCTAAGCCCCACTACCTTTTGGGACTTGGTGGACTAGACTAACCCCTCAACCTCTTCTTCTTGATTTAGAAGGCTAAAGAGGGAATCATTTCTTCCGCCAAGAAGAGATTCACCCTTCAATTCAACGCTTTTTCCATCCCATTCAAATCTCATGATCTGCTGCCTCTAGTTAGTAGTGACTTCTCCCAATGTTGCCAACTACTCTACACCCAAAATTAAGTCAGCCTCTTTCATATCAAACACATAAGAATCGATGCATATTTGCAAGTCTTCCAACTCAACTACTTGCACCTGTTTTCGGTTCCCATCTCCTAATCTGACTCCCACCTTGGTAATGTTGCCATACTATAACCCCAAGAACTCCACAATCTTCATTGAAATGAAATTATGAGCAGCTCTACTGTCAACCAAAATTACCAATGGAAACTCTTGATTTTAACTTTTATTTTCATGGTTTTGGGCTGAAATCCAACTCCTCGACCCATCGCATGACAACTAAGAGCAGAACACTCCAGTTCTCTGCTAGGATGCTCCTCCATCTCCAAGGCTAATACGTCCTTCTCTCCCACCTCCGATTGCTCATTATCCACAATGATTAATTTAAGTTGTTGCTAAGGGCATTGATGCAAAGGTTGAAAGTTTTGGCCATATTTAAAACACAACCCCCTTTTGCTTCCTCTCCATTAGTTCAACATTTGATAAACAATGCACTCCATGGTCTTTCTCATTATTGACTTGCCTTTCTCCAGCCCCAAAATTGCCCAAACTTGAACAACCAATCTTCCCTTACGCCTTCAAAACTCCATATTTTGTGTTTCACTAAGTCGCACCATAGGCAAAGGCTTTGTACCCAAAACGTAGAAATAGAGCATGAGTAACCCCCATTCCCTATATTTGAGCTCCTCCTATACTTTGTTTTATAATTCACATCCCCTGACAAGTCAGCCTCAATTGTTCTCGCTAACTCCATCATCCACAACTTGTTATTAGGTTTATGAATACAAACCTTTCATCGAATATTTGCCTAAAGACCATACATAAAGTACGCCATGAATTTCTACTCTGGCATTTTGGGACCAGAGAGACAAGATATTCAAACTCTTTGATATATGAATTCATAGTTCCATCCTGTTGTATCTCTGCCAAAATCTCAAAAGGATTCTCCATTAGAGTCCCTCAATACCCCCAAAGCAGTGCTACTTTTAGGTTATCCCACAGTGGCTCTGGCTTATTTTCTATCTATAGTTGAACCAATGGACCGTAGGCTCCTCTATGAAGATTTTGGCTAGTCGCACTTTTATCTTTGGCTAAGTGTCATGAACTTCAAAGTATGTCTCAGTTTGAGTACCCAAGCACCTAGGTCAGTGTCGTCAAACCCTAGAAGCTCAACCTTCTTTACTACAGACCAAAACTCTGCCAACATCTACTCTTCTGGAGAATTTTCTGGTATATGTTGGCTTCACAAAAGCTCCATCAATGTGATGCTGAGAATGAGAAGATTCTGGTGATGTATTTTGATCATGGGACAGATATCGCATCAAGTGTGATTCCATTTGTTTTATCTCTTCCATCAACTTGAAAAATGCATTCTACAAGTCTAACTGTGACTTCTCTTGCGTGTCAGCTAGCTTTTGAACTAGACACTCCAATGAACTCAAACGCCTTCCATGATTGGTTCCACTCCGCTTCTATGCTTAGACATACAGCTCCTTTAGCCGCTCTCTGATTAGGGTATTAGACAGGTCTAACCAATTGTTAGAGACCAAATCAAAAGATATAAATTCTATAATTACAAAGAAGAAAATACTGCAGAATCAATTCTGCAATACCTAGAGCAAAGCTCTTACAAAGGTTCACACCCTTGCTACTATATCAGGAAAAAAAAAAAGCATGACTAACTTGTTCTCTCTCTTCCCCCTACTATATGAAACATTGCACGTCAATCCATAACCAATTTCTCTCTCTAACTCTCATTCTGCCCTTCCTATTTCTCCTACTATATGTTTTCCAAATCCAAGGCTCATGACTGAGTTGGACTGGACATGTCCACTTAGGTTCAGGGGACCTAACACAATCATTTTTTTAGCTTCTAAAATTAATATTTTTTCATTATACTCTTGCATTTTCCATGAAATAAATACTTACAAAATGTTAACCTCAACCTTTAAAGTTGAGTTTAAACACCCAAAAGTAGCAATCTTTTATTTAAAAAATAAATATTCATCACACTTTTATAACTAACATAAAAGTATTTTTCCAAATAAAAACTTAGTAGGTTAACAAATCCCTAAATACATTTTTTTCAATAAAAATTTAGTATTTAAACATTAACTTACACTACCAATAGAAATGCTTATAAAATAACACTATTAATAAAAATAACATACAAGTAGCAGGGGCACGTAACTATATTAATCCCCATGAAGTTCATTGTTTTTCAATTCTTAACAAATAATTATAAGAAAATTTTGAGAGAATAATGTTGCATTCTAAAGATTCAACTAAAGTGTCTGCTACCTTTTTACAATGAATTCGGTAAGATGCACCTTTGGCTGGGCAGCTGTTACGATTCTAGCAGAGATCAGAGATGTAACCAAAAAGGTTATACATGATTATCTTCGTAGTTGCCTCTGCAAAAGCAAATATCAGTTGCATGAAAATCATTTCCTTTGAATAAAGATAATGCATATGATATACCAAAACTTTTTTTTTCTTATAATTATTTATAGTGAATTTTTATCATTGACATAAAAATGAATGACTGTAAAAAGGTATCTGTAGCTTTACAGAAATTCCCTTGTCATCTTAACCATATATATTGCGAATACAGAAAATATTTCGAAGTGTATATCAAACATACTCTTGGGGCATTGTTGACAACTTGCGGCCGTCTGTCAGAAACTCTCTCTGGGTCTGGTATCAACTCTGGACTATCATGCTTATAAAATGCCTGTAAAGCTCTTCCAACAAATGGTCGAACAATATTCACTTCCATTGCAGATAAATTTTTAATCTGCAATATATCACGGATTATGGGTGCATTGTCAGCAGAAAAAAAGACGTGTTTTCCAACCAGCCTTTCTTCTCCACACCAAAACATTATTAAAGGTGCAAAAAGGCCTAAAGAAGGTGAATGCATCAAATTCTCAAAGCAAGTATAAAAAACAAGGGTAAGAAAACCAACATCCCGATCTGTCACACTCCCAAATTGAAACTTCAATTTTATGATTACAGCGACAATTATGAGACTACAAGTAGAATGCAGTATTTGACATCAACTAAATCCCGTAATGTCCTTTTACAAATGTGCTAACATGGAAGCGTGGCATGCAATACAAACAACCTTAAAAGATTCAAACTTTTAAATTTATCCTGGATTCAGAAGATTTTTAATGTTGTGCTTATAGCTATTGACAGAAGTCACAGAATTGTAATGTTCACATTTTTCATCTTCTAGATTTTGTTTTCTCAAATTTAGTGACAAAGGAAGTTACTGGAACAACTTTGGTAGCAGAAGCACAAATGAGAGATGAGGCATAATCATGTAGGTTGTTCGTCAGCTAACTTTAAACAGAGAATGGTCATATACCTACCTTGCAACAAAGACCAGAATCAAGTTTAAATTGAAATATTTGAAGAGATCTAATATGATTGTTTGTTAGTGTAAAATTCTAAATGCTATTAGCAAACAGGAAAGAAACAAATCATTGAAGTAACTGAAATACACCACATGGTACAATGATAGCATAAAATTCTTTGAGTAGATCAACATTAAATCCTTACTAAAGCAACATGCATTTTACCATTGGAGCTGCAATCTTTCAACAAACAAATATCCCCAAAAACTATAAATATTACCTTAACAGCAATTGTGCGACCATTAAATGCTTCCAAGTCAGTTTCAACTTTATGAAACCTTACATCTCTGATGTCCTCAATTAGAGACCTCACCTGTACAGAAGAAATAAGCAGAAGAAAAATCTGGTGCATAATTCTGGAAGGCTAACATTTTTAAACTCACCATATATACATCAGGAATGTTGTCACGAGCACTAAAGATCAAAATAAAGTAAGTTAATATAGTAAAATAACCGCATCTAACAGAATAAGATAGTAATGTCTCTAAACTTACTGGTCAAAAAGAAGTCTGGAGATCTCTACATAATGAAATGGCAATTGATCTGACATTTCTTGAGAGTCTCGCTCTGCCTCCAAAACTTGAGTCAACTTCTCTAGTTACAAACAAATGCATTGGAGTAATATTAGTCTTGATTTCCACTTCCATTTACCTTAACACAACAGTAATCCCAACAAATTTTTAAACCAGCCAAAGCAGCACTACTCTCCATATCATATCTACCTCGACCACCCAAAGGAAAAGAAATTTTCAAAATAACAAAGTTATTTACATTATAAATTAGCCTATTACATGTCATAAGCAAAAACAAGCAATATAAAAACAAAGTTTAAAATTACAAAATCAATTCTTGCACATATCAATAAAAAATTATACACGTCCCAATACAAATATGCTGTCCAGATCATAGTAGTCAATTTCGGATAGCGATGCGGAGTGGCTGATTCCAAAAAATCTATAGCAGAATAGTGGATAGTAGGATAACTGCGATTCTGATAATTTAAAATACACCAAATATAGATTATGCTACACATATATATGTTAAAGATTCCAATTTTCAAATTTCAATCGTTTGAGGGGTTCTTAGAAGTCAGAATAGAACAGAGAAGAAAAATAGAACAAAACAGAGTGGTCTCACCAGAGAAAGCCCCCAATGCAAATGGTCTTGCCGGAAAATGTGTGGGTCTTGTTGGAAATGAAGAAGACTATAACTTGATTGGATATGGTGAATAGAGTCAGATTTTGGTTGAAAAGTAGCCCCTTAAACAAATGGTTAACATAAAAAATGAGTAGGTGTTGCTGGAGATGAAGATGATTGGAACTTGGTCAGAAAAGGACGTCAGCTACTGTAAATCTTGTTGGATGAAGCAGAAGTTGCCACAGATGTGAATGGGAGCACTTAGGGTTCAAGAGCACTGAGTTTGAATGATACAACAACATACAGAAATTGACAATGTAAAAGGAGAGCAAAATACCAAAATTACCCTCCTTAAAAGCCTTCTAATGTTAAGAAAACAAGGGTAAATTTGACATTTCTATCGTGCATTAAATAGCGGCCACAACAGCCACGATTTTCCATGATTTGCACTGCTCCAGCCACTACACTGAACCGTGCGCTTGGAATAGTGGCAGGGAGCCGCTCCACTCCACTATGCCACAATAGCGGCTGCTATTGACTACTATGGACCAAATTAATTTTAGTACTTCTTAATCACATTTAATGGTTCAAAATTAATTTTGTCAAAATCAATTCTACCAAAGTCTAAGCCAAACAAACACTAAATCGTTGTCTGATGGTTGGAGGGGGAGGGGAGCATAAGAAAGAAAGGAAGCTCACCAACAGACATCCATTGGGGAGGACAAATGGAGCACTTGCCTCTCTTCTTGAGAGCAATGGCCAGCCATAATGGTACTTGAGTAAGAATCTGTGGTGTAAATGGGCCAAAATCTCCCTGCCATTGTTAATTGTTAATATTTAAGTAAAAAGGGTCATGTATATGCATATGTGTATTAAAAAAGAACCAGTGTTATGTTATTGCTTACACAAATGAAATTAAGCGAACCCATTTTGAGATTGGGTACAATGTCCACGATCTCATCCTCGGCAATGAACTCAAGCTGAGTTACATGCAAAAGCAGAATATATTAATAAATTTTTAAACAAAATCATTAGAGAAAAAAGACAAGAATGTGACAATAACATACCTCCTCTGCTGAAAATAGTGAGAGCTCATTGTTTGATTGCCCAGCCATCTTGTCAATTTCAACTTGAACTCAAACCAAAGGGAACTGATCAACTGTTTTACTTGCATCAAGATGAAAACCTTGTGAATAAAATATCCCAATTAACAAATGCAACCCACTGTAAATTCAAAAAGTTAAGCAGTGTATTATTATTTGCTGCAAATTTGGGTTTAAAATATGAATAAACAAAATTCACTGTTAACAACTGTAAATATGGCACCAAGAGAGGGAGCAGAGGCACTGAAACAAGGAAGCAAAGGTTGAAAAACATGAAATCAAACACACAAATCGAATCTTAGTATATTTTACCATTATTTCAATGACCATTATTCAAAATATAACAACAACCAAACTTTATTCCACTAGGTAAGGACTACGTGGATCACACGTTATTAAGCTCGGTGAAAAACCAAATTTTTAGAAATCCATTTAATCAAAAGGAAATTACCATTATTAGTAGAGAGCATGTGATGGATATTAAAAGACAAGAGAAGAGACTGCAAAGCTGACCTGAGCAGAGCACAGTGAAAAAAGAAAACAACAGAACATAAGATGATAGGGAACTAGAAGGTTGAGATAATCTCACCTAGAGGTGTGCATGGACATGGATAGTTTTGGCATGAAATAGAACCAAATTCACTTGTAAACCAATCAACATCTTGTCAAAACCACTTTGTTTTAGACAAAACCAGTTTTAAAATCCAGTTCCTTAACCAAAACAGGGTTTAAATCCAGTCTTTTTAGCCAAAACCATTTCTAAAATTCAGTTTTCAAGTACAACTTGTTATAAATCAAGTTTTATATCCAATATTTCTAGTTGAAACCAGTTTTAAAATGGGTTTTTGAACCCAATCCAGTTTCTTAACCTATTTGAACCTTCTAGTTTTGGGCATGTAATTATTTTAAATTTCTAAAGCTATAATCTGTTTTGAAAAGCAAGGACTGGACTTAAAACCAGCAACACGATAAATTCTCAAGACCAATATTGCCACCAATGCTATATGAACATAAAGAAAGGTAAAAAAATACTTATACTGGGTCAGCTGCATACTGCATGGTAGTGTCTGCCTTCCTGTGTCTTTTTTTTTTTTTTTTTTAATTTGACAAACCCCTAATTTCAGTACTCTGATACTTCCAAAAGCAAATGGCTCTTATACCTCTAGTTTGGTGTTGCCATGTTTGTTGAAAACCTAAGGCATAATTAAACATATGCAGCAGAGGAAATTAATTTAACTGTATGTGCCCCATCTGCCATCCATATAGTGGTTGTAGTGTTCCTATTATGTGCCTAATACTCTTATTTCTTAGGCATCTATATGAAAATTTTAACTCAAATTGAAATATACAAATTAATTACACAGTCTGTACTCATCTTTGTAGGTGATTAATTGTGAGAAAAGATGGTTATAGCACAGGATAAGCATGGGCCAGACACCAGAGTAGATCACAGATGACATATAACTGATGACGCTGCTCAACTATAGATAGAGGATTAATATTTATCATGCTAAAGCTATTTAATTTGACTCACAACTTCCATACTCCATAAGTAGTTGCTTCAGTGCTGTGAAACATAAATACATTGGGTAAACAGCTCAAAAGTAAGATACCGATAGGCCCACTAATGCAGACATGGGCCCAGGGAATCATTTTGCTCAGCAAACATCTAAAGAGCCTAAGGTTTGGAGGGTGAATACTAGGAGAAAATGAAATAGGAAAGAGAGTAAGAGAGATGCTGAAGTGGCAGGGAGAGAGAACATGCTAGGAGTTTGTTAATGGAGATTTGCTTCCAGTTACAAGGGATGGTGTGAGATATGTGTAAGGGGGGAGAGAATGTAGCATTTTTTGTTACGGATAGAGAGCAGTGGCTTTCTATAGGAGCAGTGCTCTGTGGCTGTAGGATATTCATCCTCAGTAATCTTAATCTCTAATTTCAATTGAATAAAATACCCCTTTTGTCTCTGTGAGTGTGTCCACTGCTTGTTCTGTGTAGTTGACTCCAGTTTGTATCAGATACCACTGTTAGATTGGATTAATTTATATGTCGGCTCACTTCATCCAGATGTTGGCATATGAATTAAGATCTTAATAAGTTTTCTAGTAAGTTGTTGCTATGCCATTCACAAATAAACAAATGTATAAGCATGCCAGGTTAATGGACAGCAATGCTAACAGGTTAATGTTGATTGTTATCAAGCAGAAGCAGGAAATTTGAATGCAGATATGGTTGATAAACAATTCACTAAGAAATAACAAAAGGAGTAGTTAACAGGGGAAACTGCAAATGGATTGAGTGAGGGAACCTTGGAAAAACTTATAACTAAAGTAAACAAGTTTATGGTTTAAGGGTAGCAGAATTCTTAACACAACCCTTCCTTGCTTAAAAGAAATGGCTATTTTACTTCAGCAAGCCTATGAGAATTATTAGTTATCAATCTCGGATAGCGGCAAGTGAAAAATGCTATAGTGGTATAACGCATAGCGGGTCAGCCGCTATTCTGAAATTTGTTATACAAATTACATAATTTATACTATATATATTTAAAAAACATTCAAGTAAATAGCAAGGAGTGAGCATAGACAAAAAAATGAGTCTGGGTCTTTGGGAGACAGATGACAAAAAAACCCTCGAACTTGAGAGAACAAAAAATTTAGAACAAAGATAGCAATCGGACTAAAAAAAAGAGGAAAAGGAGAGAACAAAAGCAACCAGCAGGACAGTGAGAACAAACTGGAAAACTGGGCACTTGATGAAAATGCAGAATGAGTGAACATAGAGCATGGGTTAAACAGAACACAGCAAGTTCTAACAGGAAAATACTATGACGCGGCCAGAAAATCGTCGAAGAGCAATGGGCTGATGTGTCACATTGAGACAAGAGAGAGCGCAAAAATCAGAAGATTCATATAATGGTAGAAGTCAGATAGTTTATCTTATATCACATGACATGAAAATCAATGAGGACAATGAATATAAAATTGAGTGCTTAAACTAAAAATAAATAGGCGAAATTGACTGTTACTGGGAAATTGTATGTATAACAGTGTAATACATGAACCCTAATAGATACCATTGGCAAGCACAAACTCATTTGATTTTACATTGAAAATTATTTGAATATAGTGACTTCAAATTTGAGTTTGGTACTGCTTCAGAGAGAGAGAAAAAACACGGAAATCTTACCCGATCTATGAGCGAGAGAGAGAGAGAGAGAAGAGAGCGAGAGCCCGCAAGATAGATAAAAAAGAAGCTTGAGAGATGAAAGATGACTAGGGTGAAGAGACAATGTAAGAGTCAGAGGGAGAAGAAGAGCACACAAACGGTGATGAGGATCCACAAATCAAGAGTGAGGAGGGAATTTTAAAGACTAGCAGAGTACTGGAGGGAAATTCCAAAGTAACTTGTAAAATATGAGGTCACTCTCCGCGTAAAAATTAATAGTTTATTTAAATATATAAATATTTTTTAATTTTTAAAATATCAGAAAAATTATAATCATTAATTTAAAAAAGAATAGAATGTCTTCTTAAATTTATAAATATCACGTTTAAATAGGATTAAAGTTTAAATATAATTTTTTAATAAAAATTTAAAAATATATTAAATTTTTTTAATATCTTATAAATTAAAAAATATTTTATATCTTCGTAGAATAATTATTATTTTATATTAAATATGTATAATAAATAATAAAAATTAATAATTTATTTAAAAAATATATAAATATCTTTAAATTTTTACACGAAACACAATAGTCTATTTAAAAAAATATAAAATGTTATATCAAACTCTCTTAGAAATCATTTCATCGTAATAGGAAAACTCCAAAATACCCCCCAAAGCAACGTTAAAAATTTACGGCATATTTGAATTTTTGATGGTCTTCCCCGCTATGGCGCAACACAGCGGTTTTGCCACTATAGCCAACCATGATAGTCACAACACAAAAATGTGACACGATGACGTGAGAATAGCGGCCAACCGCTACAACACAACGCAACAATGCTACACCCTACAGCCGTAATTTATTGCATGAATTTTTCAATTTGTAAAGTAATTCCAAATTCAGAACTTGGAAGAATGTAGGCTGCAAGTATCAAACTCCTAACCTGCATGGTCATAAATATATAGGATCGCCATGTTTCCTATTATTAACCTAGCTACTACTCTTAGCAAATCTACCTACTACATGCCCTGTCTGTGTGTCTCAACTGTTAAGTTACTATTAATAGTTTAAAGGACTTTGCTAGAGTAAGAGACTATTACATTGTGTGAGTTAAAAATGGGGTGGACCCCTCTTAGGCTATAAATAGGGGCTTGGGGCCCCTTTATCAAATCCATCCCAAAATCTTCTCTCTCTCTCAGTGTAATACAAAAGTGAGAGAGAGAGAAGATTTTGGGATGGATTTGATAAAGGGGCCTCAAGCCCCTATTTATAGTGGTGTGTAAGAACTGATCACTGGGCAAGTGTACCCGTTGTCGGAGTAATATTATTAAAATTAAAGTACCAAGTGTCGTATCCACATGGACTGTTATTAAGAAATTTTTCCTTAATTGCGTAATTATTAATAAATATGAAAAATAAATTTTGTTAATGAAATTGCTAAAAGTAAAAGAATAATAATTTAAAAGAAACAGATATTCTTGTGAAAATAAATTATAGAAAATTATAACTAAAGGTATTCAAAGGAAAAAGGCAAGTATCTAGACTGTAAATCCCCCTAAGTGTCCAAATAACTGAAATTATTCTTCAACTACTTAGTTCCAAACCCTTATCGCTGCAGGAAATTCTAATTTAAATTAATACATTTCTCAAGGATAATGATTCCTAACCCTCAGTTGATTAATCGGAATCTCTTCCTTAATTAATACCCCTAGGTTGCATTAAGTTCATTATGAATTCCATAATTAGGGTTAATCCTAATACAGAAAACTCACGTCTTTTTATCTCTAGAAATACATTCAAGTCTTTTTAATTGAGCAATGTTAAATTCATGTAAGAATTTTACTCAAATTCAAACAAGAACACAAGATAGAAGAAAATTGATACTACTCAATTAAACCCAAGAGAAAGGAACATGAAATAGCATTAGAAGAATTCCAGAAAATTTAGTCAATTAGGATTCATTACGTCTAGATATTCAAAGGAAAGTTAGAACCTAAACATCTTGAAATTAAAATTACAAAAGAGATGAATTAAAACACTTGATCTTATCCTTTTGTCGTCTCTGAGTCTTTCGTCTCCAAAAACTGTCTCCTTCCATTCAAGACCAGTTCTCCTTTTATAGGAATTGTCCTAGGGTTCTCGCAAAAGTTAAATTTTTGACGTGCGTAAAAGTACACGCCCAAGTACACGGCCATGTACTTTGGCCGTGTACTTCTCTGTTTTCTAATAGTTGTCCTTCAAATCTTTCCTGACAAGTACACGCTCATGTACACGGCCGTGTACATCTCTGGTTTAGATGATACACTTCAATTGACGCGACCAGTGAGATACACACTCATATACACGGGCATGTACTTGCCCATGTATATCTCTGGCTTCATTATGTGTTTCAAGTCTCAATATCTTTTAAAGCTTTCACTTCTTGATCCTTTTTCCTGAAATATAAATAAAATAAAATTAATAATAGTAAATTTTATCAATGAATAGCTTAAAACTCTCAATTATCATTCATGAATTACAATGTAGGATTAAGTATAGAAAACATTTATCATATAGCCTAAGAGGGGTCCACCCCATTTTTAACCCACACGATATGGGACTAACAATTCTCCCACTTGAAGATTATGATTAAGTTAATCATATCTTCACACATTCCTAATACATTACAATTATATATTGTTTATATTCCTAATAGGCCATACAAGGATCGACACCATGTAAACTTATCAATGTTGACTGGTTTTGTCATTATGTCTGCTATGTTGTCTTTGGTATGAATCTTCTACATATCCACCCTTCCTTCCTCTACTACTTCACGAACAAAATGATATTGTATGCCTATGTGCTTTGTTTTGGAATGAAAGGCTGGATTCTTTGCAATATGCAAAGCACTTTGACTGTCATAATACACAGTAGTAGTCTGCTATTTGTGCCCGAGTTCCTCCAATAGCCTTTGAATCCAGATTGCTTCCTTGCATGTCTCAGTAGCTGCCATGTATTCAGCTTCTATAGTAGACAAAGCTACAACAGTCTGCAACTTAGATAACCAGCTTACTGCCCCTCCAGCAAGTGTAAACACATAACCAGTAGTAGATTTCTTTTTATCCAGATCTCCTGCAAAATCTGAATCAACATAGCCTTTCACAATAAATTCTGATCCTTCAAAACATAATATGTATCTAAGGATCCTCTTTGCAATATTCCAATGCTCTCTACCAGGATCTGCCATAAACCTACTGACTGCTCCCACTGTTTGTGCAATGTCTGGTCTAGTACAAATCATGGCATACATAAGACTTCCCACTGTTGATGCATACGGCACTCGAGATATTTTCATCATCTCTGCTTTATTGCTAGGCTTCATACTTGAGGATAATTTGTAATTGACAGGAAGTGGGGTAGAAATTGGCTTACAATCTTGCATGTTGAAGCGCCGCAAGACTTTCAGTAAATAATTCTTCTGAGAAAGCCAAATCTTCCTATCTTTTATGTCTCGGTGAATTTGCATCCCTAAAATCTTGTTTGCTGATCCCAAATCCTTCATATCAAACTCCCTAGCCAATTGTGCCTTTAATTCTTGGATCTGATCTTTATTGGGGCCTACCACCAACATGTCATCCACATATAACAACAAAATGATGAAATCATTTTCATCAAACCTATTGTAATACGTACAATGGTCTGACTTTAGTATGTTGTAACCAAGGCTAATAATGAAGGAATGAAATCTCCTGTACCAACATCTCGGCGCCTGTTTTAGACCATACAGAGATTTGGTCAATCTGTAAACTAAGTTTTCTTTTCCTTGTTCTTTAAAACCTTCTGGTTAGAGCATATATATTTCCTCTTCAAGTTCTCCATGGAGAAAAGCAGTTTTTACACCAAGTTGCTCAAGATGTAAATCAAATGCAGCACAGATTGCCAGAACAATTCTGATTGTGGTTAATCGAACTACTGGAGAGAATATCTCGTTGAAATCAATGCCTTCTTTCTGAGCATATCCTTTAACCACTAATCTTGCACGATACCGCTCCACTTGATCATTACCATCTCGTTTGATTTTGTAGACCCATTTGCAACCAATGGCTTTTCGATCTTTTGGAAGTTCAACAAGTTCCCATGTCTTATTTTTATGTAAGGCCTCAATTTCTTCCTGCATTGCTGTCATCCATAATAAAACATCTGAACTCCTCAAAGCCTCATGAAAGGTTGACGGTTCACCCTCTTCATTTAGAAGACAATATGCATCATGGCTTGTCATAACATAGTCTGAGTGCCAAGATGGTCTCTTTATCTCACGTCTTGTTTGTTGAGTTTCTCCATCATTGGCATCATTTGGTTCTTGTTCTCCATGCTCTTGTTATGCTTCAGAGGTGTCATCTTTTTCAGACTTCCTTTCTATCACTATTGAAGTAGTGTCTTTGGTAGTACTGTCATTTTTTTGCTCCTTTTGCAGTTTATTTTCTGCAAAGACTACATCTCTACTAACAACAACCTTGCGGGCAGTGGGATCCCACAAGCGATACCCCTTAATATTGTCAGCATAACCCAAGAATATACATTTCCTGGATTTTGGATCCAGTTTTGTTCTTTCTTGGGAATTATACATCACGTACACAGGACATCCAAACACATGTAATAAAGAATAATTAGGTGGCTTTCCATTCCATACCTCTATTGGTGCCTTCAAACCAATTGTTGTTGATGGTGATCGGTTTATCACATAACAGGCAGTTTTCACTGCTTCTGCCCAGAAAGATTTGGCCACTCGTGTTGTCCTTAGCATAGCCCTTGTTCTTTCTAGAAGAGTTCTGTTCATCCGCTCTGCTACACCATTCTGTTGAGGTGTATAAGGCACTGTGAATTGCCTTAAAATACCTTCTTGCTTGCAGAATGCCAGAAAATCACCATCTACATATTCTCCTCCATTGTCTGTCCTTAAGCATTTAATTCTTTTTCCAGTTTCAAGTTCTACTAGTGCTTTGAATTCCTTGAACACTGGAAACACATTTGACTTCTTCTTGATTGGGTACACCCACAATCTCCTTGAGTGATCGTCAATGAATGATACAAAATATTTTGCTCCTCCAATAGATACTTCCGGTGATTCCCATACATCAGAATAAATCAAGTCCAATATGTGTTTGCTTCTTGTAGTCACTTTGGCAAACTTCACTCTATGCTGCT